AATGTTGTTCGTTATCCTTCCTCCATACTTGCTGTTCCTCATTCTCGCCATACCCTGGGCATTGTCCTCGTCCTCCTCAGCTCTTTTTGCGGAGGCTCCTCCTTGGAGAGCCTCTGGGGGCCTCACCAAAGTTCTCAGGTTTTCTTAAAGCCTTCTGAAGGCCTCCTGGGCGTGTTCTGGGGGCCTCTGGGGCTTCCTAAGGCCAACCTGCCTCTAACCGCGGTCTCCCTGAACGCCCCGGTCACGATTTGGAATGCTTCGGAGGGTGTCGTGGGGCCATCTTGGGCCGCGATGGGGCTCTCTTAGGGCCATTTTGGACCCCTGTCGAGCCGTTTTGGGTTTCTCTTGGACTGCCTGGAAACCCTTTCGGATGGTTGTGGGGCGATTTGGGAGCCTCCCAGGCGACTTCGGACGCCCAGAAGATCGCTGTCTTGGAGCGTCGGGAAGCCGAAAAGAGGAGAACCCCAAATTCACCAAAAACCTACATTAAATCAATGTGTTTTCCCTCTTGGGGCCTTCTTGGGGGTGCTCTTGGAGGCCTCTTGGTACGTTTTGGAGCGATCGTTCGGGGTATGACGGCTTCTTGGAGTGCTCTTGTGCTGTCGTGGGGTTCTCTGGGACGTCTCCGATGACCCCCCTGATCGCCCTAGGTGTGCTGCGAAGGCTTGGCAAAACGCCCTGCGAGGCCCTGGGGGCCGCTTCGAGGCCCCTCCGAAGGGTCCCAAAGCCCCAGATCCCAGGAGTCCGGTTTTTGGGGGGGGACGGGTTTTCCCCCCGCCCGGGCTTGCACAAATATAGGAAGAGGAATATTTATCTATATTTATATATATATATACCTATACCTATATATATATATACATACATACATACATACATACATACATACATACATACATGCATACATACATATATATACACATGCATGCATGCATGCATGCATGCATGCATGCATGCATGCATACATACATACATACATACATGCATACATGCATACATGCATACATATACATATACATATACATATACATATACATATACATATACACATACATACATACATACATACATACATACATACATACATACATACATACATACATACATACATACATACATACATTCATACATACATGCGTATATATATATATATATATATATATACCCCTGGACCGAGGCGGGGGGGCCCCCGACGCGTCATGGGGGTGTTGGGGTGCAAGGGACGCTTTCAGACCGCCCAAGACAGGCCCAACACAGATGAAAAGGACCGCGAGAGGCCTCCACGAGGCCTACTATGCGAGAGGCCTCCAGGAGGCCTACTATCGTGGATTTATCGTTCTAACTGGCCCACGTTGGCCTCCGGATGGCCCGCACTCCCAAAAGGGCCCCGAGAAGCCAAAATCACGGATTTCCTTTTTGGTTTTTGGTACATTTCAGCGTTTCAGTTTTGGGGGCATCACGACGCTCCAAGATGGCCCAAGAGGCCCCCAAGACCGCTCCACGATAGCCGAAGAAGCCTCCAAGAGGGCCCCAAGGCGGCCCGAGAGGGCCCCAAGACGGTCCCAAGAGAGGCCCAAGAGTGGGAACGCGAACCCAACAGCAGAGTCTTCCGCCCTAAGAGGCCCAGAGGGCCCCAAGAGTCCCCAAGTGGTCCGACGAGGCCCCCATAACCCTCCCAAGTGGCCCCAAAAGGCCCCAAGGAGACGTACAAGGGGCCCCAAGACTGCCCAACAGTGCCTTCGATGCATCAAAACTGTCTGCGGGAGGCCCCTGGAAGGCTTCCGGATTGCGTCGGTGTGGCCCAGGCGCCCTCAAGTCGGGCCTCCACGCAGCCAGGACGGCTAATGACGGCTTCATATTGCAGAACATCACCTTCCGACTGCCCGGAGAACCCCAACGATGCTCCCAAAGGACCCCAAGATGCCCCCCCATGAAGCACCCAAGAGGTGCCTCCAACAGCAAATTGAGGAAGTACGGAGAACCCCCCAGAAGCCCTTCAGATGCCCCCACGAAGACGCAAGAGGTCCCCAAGAGACCGGCAGGAGGCACGACTATGTCACACGCCTGTGCTTGATAGCGCTGTCCAAGATCTTCCAGCGCCCCCCGGCCTGGGCTAGAACTTGGGCGCGCGCGAAGCGCGCGCGATGGTTCTAATTCGGTCTACTGATGTACGTCTCCCACGTTTCCCTTGGACCTTTTTTTCTAGTTCTTCGACTGCGATTGTGTCGCCACCAGTTTCAGCAATGACCGTGAGGCCACTGTAGGCAGTATGTGCGTGTGCGCTGACTTATGGAAGCGGGCGTGGGAGCGGGTGGACGACCTGGGGGGAAAGTGATTAAGGTAAAAGGTCACGCGCTTGTGCATGATGACGACCGCTCGGATGACGCTAGATACCACAGGCTCGGCAGTAATCAGGCCGACAGGGTTGCGACGACCGGCGCAGCGAGGCACCATCGGGATCAGGTCGCCACCGATCGTGCCCATCGCACCGCCAGCCTCTCAACACGGGTGTGCAATGTTCCCTCTCGCACGCCGCGTGCTGCAGGCCCGTCCAGCGCTGCGTCGTCCCGTGCGGTCAGGACCCAAGGCCAACGACGGCCGCCCCCTGCTGGTGAGCACGATCTTGTACAATTCGCGGGCACGCTGCGCTACGTGAGGTGCTTGCGCGCGGCCAAGGCGGACAGGACGCTTCGGCAGGCCACGTGCCGTCCTGCAGTAAGGCCACCGCCTCTGGAGCGTCGGGCCTTTCACCTACTGCGGCTCATGCGGAGCCCACTCGTGTGATGATACTCAGCTCCCCGCGGCCGACTGCCGAGGACACTGCTCCTGCGGGTCGACGGCGCGCTGGTGCCTTGAAGCCTGCGGGGAGGTCACCACCCACGTGCTGGGGCGAAGCCGACTTTCGGTTCTGGGCCCTTAGCCCCGACTCCGTTTGCTGCCTCCGCCTTGGACGTCAAGCTTGGGGACCTCGAGGTCATCCCCGACGGGTGAGGTGGTCGCAGGCCGCGTCGCCCATTTTGGACGGAGAGGCTCCCGCCCGCTAGGTGCACGCCGCTCGGCGGCGGTGCCAGCGGGTATTGATTTCGCTTCGCTAGGCCCGCCGTCGCTGTCGTGCACCGTCGGGCCACACCCCAGTAAGGGCCCTCCTCCTCCTCCTCCTCCTCCTCCTCCTCCTCCTCCCCCTCCTCCTCCTCCTCCTCCTCCTCCTCCTCCTCCTCCTCCTCCTCCTCCTCGTCCCCCTCCTCCTCTTCCCCACCCGACGGCACACACCCGAGCCCCCCGCCCATGGCGCCGAGGTCCTCGAGGATCGAGGATCGATCGAAGCTCAAGGAGCAATCGAGGATCCACGCAGGATCCATCGAGGATCGAGGATCGATCGCTGGATCGGGCTAGGACTACGCAGGGCGGTGTGGATGTCATGGCCCTTTCCTCTTTTCACTTCAGCTCATCCCCTGGCCCCCCACCCGTCGGCGCACATGCCTTGGGCCGTGATGCTGCGCGCACACGTTCCTCGCTTCCTGGCCCCCCTCTTCGGCACACCCGAATGACGCCGAGATCCCCCAGGACCGAGGATCGGGCGAGGATCCACGATCGGGTTTGTGGTACGCTTCCCTGGATCGAGGACGTTTTCGGGGGGGGAGCCCCCCGAGACCACTTCGGGGGCCTCTGGCGGCCTGCAGGGACCTGCTGGAAGCCGCTGGGGAGGAGGAGGAGGAGAAGGAGGAGGAGGAAGCGGAGAAGGAGGAGGAGGAGGAGGCGGAGGAGGAGGAGGGTGACCGGCAGAAAGGGGTGCATATTGGGACAGCTAGACAGATACGGCTGCCAGTCTGGCAGACACCTGGAAAGACACAGCGCGACAGTACAACAACCGAACGCGCTGGTTTCGCAGCATGATTTGCTCTTGTGCGCGCGCACACGGATGCTGCTTCACGGGCTGACAATTAAGGCACATATCTCTGCGTCCGTCAGAACTCTTGGGGTGGGATTCTGGGGGGTGTCCTTCCCCATTCCTCCTCCCTACAGGTTTGACTGTGTGTGTTGTTCATTGGTCATCACTCATGAATAACTGACTGACTGCCCATGCAGGCAGGACGGACGCCTCTCTTCCCTCTCTCGCCAGCTCTGCGGTGCCTCGGGCCGAGGGTGGGCGCGGGGCTGGGGAGGCCCTCCTCGATGAGGGCCGCACAGCCCAGGGCAGGCCCGATCGAGGAAGTGAAACAAGGTGGTTATGTTCCCATCCTCCTCCTCATCCTCCTCCTCCTCCTCATCCTCCTCCTCATCCTCATTCTCCTAATTCTCCTCATAATGTTCCTCCTCCCTCTCCTCGTCCTCCTCCTCCTCCTCCTCCTCCTCCTCTCCTCCTCCTCCTCCTCCTCCTCCTCCTCCTCCTCCGCTCACCCTCCTCCTCCTCCTCCTCCTCCTCCCTCTCCTCCTCCTCCTCCTCCTCTCCTCCTCCTCCTCCTTCCTCCTCCTCCTCCTCCTCCTCCCTCCTCCTCCCTCCTCCTCCTCCATCATCATCATCATCATCATCATCATCATCATCATCATCATCATCATCATCATCATCATCATCATCATCATCATCATCATCATCATCATCATCATCATCATCATCCTCATCCTCATCCTCATCCTCATCCTCACCCTCATTCGCCCAATTCTCCTCATACTTATCCTCCTCCCTCTCCTCGTCCTCTCCATCCTCCTTCTCCTCCTCATCATCATCATCTTCCTCCTCACCCTCCGACTCCTCTCTCCTCCACCCATCCCCTCATACCATCCCTCCCTCCATTCCGCCCTCATCCCCCCTCCCCTCGTCAGGGTGGTTGGTTGGGACCTTGCAGGTATACGCGCCGCTGGACAGGGCGGCATACAAATATTACCAACAAACGTTTTCAGCGTAATACTCAAAACTTGGGGCCTCACATGGGGCCCCAGACGATGCTGTGGTTCCTGACGTTCCCTTCCGCCGAGTCGATCCGATTATCCATCGTCCCTCCCCCCGCGGAGGCGAACACGCACGTGGCGCTGGCCAGCCAGCTCGCGGACGGCGGCCTCATCGCGGGCCAGGCCGCCGCGTCCGCGCGCGCGCGGCTGGGCAGCCACTTGGGGCGCTCCAGAACGGGCGCCGCCTTCGAGGGATCCTGAAGCTGATATCTACGGTCAAGAACTTTGGCTTAGCGTGACACGCCGCCGGTTTTGGCCCACCACGAAACGGCGCGACACGCTATGTCCACGTCCCAGTCCCCAGGCTTCAACGTCCCGAGCTTTTCCGAGCCTCCCGCCACGCGGAGCGAAGCGACACGCTATAAGCTCTCAACAGATAGCGTGTCGCCAGAGCCGCCGCGGCGACACGCTATTCAAATGCTCCTGGCCGTAAACATTTTCGACCCCTAGGTTCCTCAAGGTGGAATCCCGTAAGGGGGCTAGAGGTGTGTGTGTGTGTGTGTTGTCGGATGTAGGTCCCCGCTCGAACGGGCGCCCCCCTCAGGGTCTCACAACCCGCACCCGTACCTGACGGCGCCGTCATCTCCGTGCCTTTCCCCACTCTTCTTCCCTGCAGGCTTGAGTGTGCGTTGTTCCTTCATCGAGAGAGGTCCCCAGGGAGAACGGGGTCCAGAGGTTCTCCGCCGCTCTCTGCCTCACGGGGTCCCAGGCCCGCCTCCCTCTTTCTTTCACGATGGCGGCAAGAGGAGTGGGAGGGGGGGCCGCGGGTGGCGCGGCGGGCGGGCGGCGCACCGTCAGACGGGAGGATCCTCACGAGGAGGCACTTGCCAGGGGTGCCCCCCTGCATCCCTGTGCCCATCCTTGGACGCTCTCGCTGGCCAGCCCCCCAGGGGAGGCGTCAACCCAGGGCCTTGCACCCGTGCCGCGCGTCCCGACCGCCCTGCCGCACTGCAGGAGAGGAGGAGGAGGAGGAGGAGGAGGAGGAGGAGGAGGAGGAGGAGGAGGAGGAGGGGGAGGAGGAGGAGGAGGAGGAGGAGAAAGGGGAGGAGAAAGGCGGGGGGGGGGGGGGGCGCTTCGGCGTCCGCGCCCGCGCCGGCGGCGCTCCTCGGAGCTCCATCGGGCGTCCGGCGCTTCCGGCTCGGCGCGTGGGGCTGGTCGCGCTCGGGGAGGGGCTCGGAGTGACAGGCACGTGGCGCGCGTCCGACTGCGCGTCCGTCGGGCGCTCGGTATGTCACAGCAGTCAGGAGGAGGGCCCTCTGCTTGCCCACCTCCAGCCACTGGCAAGCGCCACTCGCCGTCTCCTCCTTTTCCCTTCTGCGCACCCGTTGCTACCTTCCCGCCGTCGCGGCACTCTCTGCTGACAGCGTCTTGCGACAAGGTAGCAGCATGCCCCGACTGCCTCAGCGCGGAAAACTCCACCGAGAGGCCACCTCCTTCCACATGTGTTCCGTCTTGGATTGCGGTACGGCTGTCGCCCACACCACACGTTTCGCGCGGGAGATTGTTTCGCAGATTCGTTCGGAACGGTTTTTCCCTTCGCCTCAGCACCAGCCGCATGCCCAGCTCGGAGTGGTGCCATCACCTTTCCGCAGGCCGAGCTCGAAGCGCGTAAGGGTTTTCTCATTTTGGCGTCGGCCACGTTGTCAGCCCTGGACAGAACACAAGGGCCCCTTACCAGGACCTTACCGGCGCTCTACCAGGTCCCTGCAAAAATCCGGCCCGACTTTTTCCCGGGCCCTCACCAGGATCTCACCGGGACCGCCATCTTTACGGAGAAGGCTTTGACCAGCACCCTGCTGGCTCATCCAGCCATATTCGTCCTCCTCGCCACGGGAGGAGGAGGAGGAGGAGGAGGAGGAGGAAGAGGAGGAGGGGGAGGAGCAGGGGAGAGGAGGAGGAGGAGGAGGAGGAGGAGGAGGAGGAGCACCGTACCAATGCTGGCTGGACTCCTCCAGCCAGATTCGTACCCCAGGCTCCAGCTGCAGCGGGTCGCTGGGCTGCGGGTCGTCCTGACATGTGCGAGTCCGGTCGGGTATTAGCCTGTTCTGGGTGCTAGTCCAATCGGTTGCGAGTCCAGTTGGGGGAGAGTCTCCTCTGGATAGTCCGATCGACTGCGAGTTCGGACCTCGACCCAGGATTTTGCCACGACCCTGCCAAGACTCCACCAGGACCCGATCAGAATCCTACCAGGCCCTTGCCTTACCTTGCTTGCATCCTCCCAGGACAGGGCCAGGACCCTACCAAGATTGTGCCAACTGTAATCCTAGCTACGCGGGTGCTTTGCTGACGTGAGCTTGTGGTTCAGTTGCGCTCCTCCACCATCTGCCACCATATTTTAGGAAGCAGTGCGGCAACGCTGTAGTGCGGCGTGGCTGTAGCGGTGCATGGGTGCTGCGTTGCCTCTTGAGGGATTAGTAGGGGTCCTCTTCCGTACCTCTCGGAGGTAAGCTGAGGGCAGGTTGTGGATCTTGGGGCTGTCTGTTCCAGGGGTCCACATGGGATATGATTGGAGTTGATTCGGAGGTTATTTGAGCCAACCAGTGCGAAATATTGGGGCCTTCTTGTGCTGGCCTTGAGGCTTCTCGAGGCCATCTTGGGCTGGTGCTGGCTCCCCATCGTCCTCCCTTTTTTTGGGGGGGAGTTGGTTTCTATCCTGGGGCCCACTGGTGAGCTTCCTGGACGACCGGGCACCAGCTTGATTCCCTCAAACTGTCACTTCGCCAGAAAGCAAAGCAGAAAAGGGTGCGACTGTCTGTTCGCATCTTAGGGGACCGCCCGCCGTGTCAGCGAGCGGAGGCAGAGCGGGGGCGAGAGCGCGTCCGCGGCCGCTCTGGCTCGGGGCGTCGACACCAGGATATACAGTGGGGGCGCGCATCAAGAAACCACGTGCTTTTCGTCAGGGTATCCTGGGTTTCTTCGCTCCTCGCGCTGCGCGGTGACTTCCCGCAGCCGTTGAAGGAGCTGCTGCGTTCAGGGTGTTCCAGGTTTCCCCTCAGGTGCAACTCGCGCACGGGTTCTCAGGGTTTGGTTTCTTGCGAGGGTTTCTTGCGATCGCGCCCGCACTGCAATTGGCCAGCATCCTTGCATGACACTGGTCACCGTTTCGTCTAGGAAATGATCTGATCTGCGTCCACATCGGCCTCAGGGCTCGCCATCCTCCGATGTATGTTTTATCTACACTGGGCGAAGTACGACCGATACAGGAGAGCTGGCCAAAACGGAAGTCCATGTCAGCCATATTGGTGATGTTGTGACCCGGGTCTTCGGGGCGATGCCGCGTTCGGCCAGATCCGGCGCCTTGGCGGGGTCGGCAGCCCTCGTGTACCCCACCCCCTGGCTCCTCGAGCGCTGCCGACGCCCAACATCCGTCCCTGCGTACACATACCGTGTACCCCAGGCGTCTGCCACAGGAGTCATTTGGGAGGGGCGCGGTGCCCACATGGGACGTCTTTGTGGCCGCTTCGCCCAGTCCAGTGACCTGCCCATCTCGAGAGGGACAGGAGGCGGCCGTGAACCAGTCTTCAGTGTCCGGGCGCTGTCTTTGGCAGGTCTTGGGCAGTCCCGGGGCTGCACTGGGACTTGCCGTGGGATCGTGACAGGCGTCATTGGGAGAAAGAAGCGTCGGGGGAGGTCAACAGAATTGAAGTATAGTTTATTTTTGGGTCGTCGAAACTCACCTCACAGAGACGTCGTGGCACACAACTGTCAACATGTGTACTGGCATCCGTTGCGCGGTCGGGCCTTCCTCATTGCTTAGCAATGATTCGGAAAACTGGGCTTGGCGTGCCCCCAGCGCTGCAGACCGCATCTGCGGATCTTGCGGCTGGTCATGGACCGTCAGAGTTGCATCGGAAAAGGTGCGGGGGAGCCTGGCCAGGTGAGAAAATCAGAGCGCAGCCCCGTAGCTGGAGAGGCATGAAGCGCGTGAGGCGGGCCCATCAGGGCGAAGCCACGGGTCGAAGAAGAACAAATGTCCCGAAACATAAATTGTCGAAGGTCCGCGCGGATCTATTGAATCTGCGCTGGACTTCCTTGGCGGCGCCTCCGGTACCAACCCTGGCTCGTCCGCGCGACCTGGGGTCCAGCACCCATCCAGTATATCCGCGCTGACCTCCGCAAGCTTCTGTTTTATGTTTTTTCTTGCTCTGACAGGGTTGTGCGCTTTGTCTGTTTTCCCTCCGCGCGGCCCGGCGCCAGATGTCCCCGCACCCGAACAGCGTGCACCCACAGCTGTTCCGCGTGTCCAACGACCCGGCCAGCGGGAGCGCCTGGGAAGCTCGTTCCGAAGCCACACCCTTAGCATTAGGTCGAACCTGTCCCCCTGCAGGGGGATTTTCGACGAAAATGAAAAATACCTAAAGAATACCTCAAAATGATCAAAAAATATTCAAAAAATAGTCCCCAGACTATTTTTGGATTATTGTTGGATCATTTTAGATATTTTTATTTTTCGTCGAAAATCTCCCTGTAGCTTGGCATCGCTCGGACGTGTGCATTCTGTCTCGGCGAGAACCATCGAGGACCATCCTGGACCATCGAGCGAAAAAAACACACACGAAACCGAAAAATACACGGGAAATGGACGTCCGAGCGACGGCAAGGTAGGGGACAGGCCCGACTTAACCTTAGCAGAGCGATTGCTCATCACACCTTCCAGTGTGAGCGCCCTGGCAAAGAGGAGGCTGTTCCTCGCGCGAGGGTTGCCTGCCTCGTAGAACCGAAAGAGAAAGCATTCACAAACGTACTCAGTCGGAGGTCCACGCGGGCTTCTTGGGTCGACGATGGGCTCGCATGGCGGCGCCTCCGGCGCTTCCCCTGGTGCGCTCGGCGCGCCAGGAGGGTCCAGCGCATATCCAATAAGTCTGCGCGGTCCTCCGAGAATGTATGTTTATATTGTGCGCTTTGTTTCTTCGATTGTGGAAGCCGTGGGAAGGTCGGCAGAGGTTGGCAGCAATGTCGCAATACTCTGAGAGACATGTCCACGAGACCTTCTGGAGCCCGCGCTGTTTCCGAGATTCTATGAGCAGGCCTCGCGGTCGCAGGTGTGTGAGTAGAGCGGCGGCTTTTGTGATCTCCGGTCTTGCTGCCTTGCCTCGGGCCAGGGGGGGGCGTGAGCAGTCAAGCAGGCTGGACCAGGCCGAAGACTGATTCACAAAGAGAACGTGGGATTGACTTATTTGCTTTTATCGCGGAGGCCTTCTTTGTTGTCATTGTACCCCATGGCCTTTTGTTGTGTTTAAGGTCACGGCCCATGACCGGCCAGCCTTTGTCAGCCACAGCCGCGTTGGAGGGTAGGCATTTCGCCAGGCTCTATGCTAGCCCCTTGCGAAATCCCGACAAAGCCTGAGCTATCTGACAAGTTTGCCCGTGAATATCAGAGATCCCAGATCTGGGGCCACGGTCTGGATGATTCACGACAGGTAATTTTGCAGTTCGCGCGGCGCAGTGGGGCCCCCGCTGGCCGACGATTCGACGCCGACATGACGAATGCCCACATTCTGAGAAATTCGTGAAATAAAGAAACATTGTTCGGTTCCCTTGCAAGGTTTATTGCTGTCTGACTGCCTGTCTTTCACGAAGCCTGTCACATTGCTAAGGTGGCCTCAGGAAATCTGCTGTCTTGGCCGGCCCAACGGATGCACGCGCCGCTTCGAGTCTGATCTCGGGACGTCTGCGCGCGTCCCTCGGCCTCGCCATCCTCCGCCCCGCCGCAAGACGAGCAGTGGCCGAGGAGTGGCCGCCGGTGGAGAGCGGCCTGGACGATGAATGCCCTTCTTGACCGTCCTCTCGAGCCTCGCACCACTTCTCCTCCTTATCCGCATCCTCCTGCTCCCGCGCCACTCCCGCCCCCCACCTTCCTCTTCCCTCCTCTCCTTCCCTCAGAGGAGGAAAGGGTACCCCCATACCTCTACCCTCCCCACGTTTTCCCCTTTTGGGGCCTCCTTGGGGGCCCTCGTCGCCACCGCTGGATTTGCCTCGGAATTCTGGTCAGAACGCACCCTACCCTAGTGGTATCGGTACCTTTTGGTTTCCCCGTTCCATTCTTCTTCTGGGAATAGGCCCGCACCACGGAGGCGAGCAAAGTTCTAACCGCTTCCAGCATCTTGAGACACGGCGGGCGCCGTGTTTGAGGTGTTCCCTTGTCTCGTGTCGTGCGGCTAACGTGGAGGCTCCCCCGTCGCGGTTTGACCTCACAGTGCCCGACGTGTCTGAAAAGGCTCTGGCGCTTTGGGCTGGAGGGTTACACCGACTGGGCGACCGCGTGCGGCTTCGTGGGCTTCCCGCGACGTTCCCCTTCACGCGGGCGCTGGCCGAAATTTCGGTCGACTTAAACCAGATTGAAATTATGCGGTCGGCGTTGCGGGGGAACTCGCCGATGTCGACCAGATCCGTGGCCCTCGCTGGGCCCAGAACCATTGTGTCCCCCGCCTTCGCCATTGCGAACAACGCCGATGTTATGCCCGCGCGCGACCCACTTGGATTCAAGGCGCTAGTGATGACGCCAGGAAGCTCGAGCATTGAAGGAAGTCGCTCTACCAGCACGAGGCTGGCCAAGCACTCCAAGCAGAGACGAAGAGAACAGCTCGGGATGCTCAGAGCGCTCCGAGCGCAAAGGGTTGCCTGAGCATGAGGGGCAACGGTGCACCGTCGCACGATCGGTCGGCGACCCGTGCCAGAATCCGATGTCCACCGTCCCTTCTGCTGTCCGAGGCGCGGCCAGCGCACGCTGCGAGCGGCCAAAATCGTCGAAGGTTGCCAGGCAAGTGCTCCCCCCCCCCCGCTCGGGCCGAGCAGGATCACGGGCGTCGGCACGAACGGGTGGCACGTGGACGGCACCCACAAGCTGGTGCCGCAGCTCATGCGCCTGCGGGTCGAGAAGCCCTGGCTTACCCCCAGCATCCGAAGAGGAAAGCTATCCTCCTCCTCCTCCTCCTCCTCCTCCTCCTCCTCCTCCTCCTCCTCCTCCTCCTCCTCCTCCTCCTCCTCCTCCTCCTCCACACCCAGGGGGGCGAGAAGACAGTCGCGCTCATCGCCTCGCTCCGTCGGCCGGGGAGCTGCCCCATGTCCAAGGTGGCGGCATCGCGAGGGCGCGAAGATGACCGCGGATCGCAGGGCGCGGTGCGCGAAGTTGGGTGGCCAAGGGAAGGAGGCGCCGCGAGCAAAGAGGCGGTGGGAGCGATGAGAGGAAGTCAGGCGATCGCAAACATGGATCAAGGGGGCGTGGATTAGCGACGGGTTCCGCTTCCGTGAGATGTCGTGGATTTCCGCCGCCGAACGAGGCGGCACCGGCCGCATTTTGGGGAGGGCACCTCCCCCGATCCATGGAATTGGCGACCGCGCGCCAAATCCATGGATCGCTAATCCATGTTTGCGCGCCCCCGAGGAAGGAGTGGAGGAGAGCAAGTGGCTGCGGCCAGCCGCCCACAGGCATTCATTCCACTGCACGGCGGCCGCAGACGGTGGGGACACGTTCTTCCTGCCGCTGGACGAGCTGTTCGGGTGGCTGACGCCGGTCATGGCCCGCGTTGCATTTTGGACGTGGGGGGGATTCCGTGGGAGCCCCCCCAGGAGTCGGCAGGGCTGCTCGGAGACAGGGTCTCGTGTTTGGAGGGATGTCGTGCCCAGGTCGGCGAACAGGCGTGCCCCCCGAACAGCATGATGCCCTCGAGGGGTCGTGTTCTCACAGACAGCGTCCCACAAATGGCGATCAAGAGTTGCAGTTGGAAGTGCTCATGTGCTGCGAGTAAGTGGACCCGGAGCAGTTTCCAGATGCTCACCTACTTCGGCGGGGCCCGATGAACACGAAGGCCACGCTGGAAACTAAGCCCACCCCCAGTGACATTTCTGTCCCGAAGGTTGCTCGTGCCCTCGAGGGGACAGGCACTCGGAAGGGGATTCTGGGTGTCTGGTGAGATGTTCTGGCCTGGTTGTCTTGGTCATGGTCGCGATTATCTTTTCTGCTGGGCCCACTGTTGAAGGACAGCACTTCTGAGAATGTTTGTGGGGCGGAGTTTGCTCGTCATGGGTCTGTCTCGAAGCTCGGGGCTCTGCGGGTGGACCCAACAGGCCCAAGATCACCATGTCAGGCACGAGCAGCTCCTTGGAGCCACCTTCAGACCGATGTGTCACCGATGCAGCCGCGAACAATTTACAGCCGAAGCTCATATGCGGGCTACCCAGCGGCAAGCCAAATGATGCCAAGTTACAGCCACTACGTATCCGTAAGGGCTTCGCCCTCTGAGGCCGGCCCCCCCTCTATCATAATGAAATATGCAGGAGCTATGTTGGGATGCGTGGGCGCCGTCGTGGAGCAGTTCGTGCGAGGACGGCGTATTTTACAAGGGGCCGTGGCTTCGGAGACGCGAGCATGGCGAAATGTACTAGAAATCGTTGCCTCGTGGGCGCGAGCACGGCGTAATTCATTAGATATCGCGGTCTCGGCGCGAACATTGTTTAGTTTACGAGGGATCCTGGCTCCGGGGACAAGAACACAGCGTATTTACGATGGGTGGTCGTTTCGGGGACGCGAATATTGTGGGATCGCGGCTTCGGACACGCGAGTATTTTGCAAGTTACCAGGAACCGTAGCCTCGGGGACGCGAATCTTGCATAGTGTGCGAAGGATCGTGGCTTTGGGGACGCGAATATTGAATAATTCGCGAGGGATCGTGGCCTTCAGAGACGCGGATATTGCGTCATTTACGAAGGATCGCAGCCTCGGGGACGCGAACATGGAGTGATTTGCAAGGAGTTGTAATCCTAAGGCTGCCGCCTCTGCCGCCGACCCCAAAGAAGTCATTGACAAGTCGGCAATCAGCTGTTTCCGTTTTCGAGCTCGTCTCAGGTTCGTGGCTGTATTACCAGGATCGTAGCAGTGGTGGCAGCAGTATTCCGGCTTGTGGCTGTAGTTGTAGCTTTAGGAGCTGTAGCGGTAGTAGTGGTAGTAGGAATATTCGTATTTGTAGGAGTCGTAGTAGAATGGGGGTCGGGTCCTTCGGGGCCTCGGAGAAGAGTGAGATCGGACTGGACTCTTGAGGGAGCGTTCGACACCAAAGCAAGGCCTCAGGTGGCTGGCAGTGTCAGCGGGGGTCGGGGGGGTCCCGGCGGGGATTTTGCTGAGGGGGGGGGCCTTGAAACCTACAAAGAATCCCATGCCCAGAGGCCTCAAAAGGCTGGCTGTGTCAGGGGGGGTTGGGGGGGGGGTCGGAGGGGTCCCGGCGGGGATTTTGTTGAGTGGGGGGCCTTCAGATCTACGAAAAACCCATGCCTAGAGCCTCTCAGGAGGCTGGCTGTGTCAGGGGAGGTCGGGGGGGTCTCGGCGAGGAATTTGCTGAGGGGGGGGGGCTTTGAAACATGCGCAAAACCTTATGCCCAGAGGCCTCAGGTGGCTGGCAGTGTCAGCGGGGGTCGGGGCGGTCCCGGCGAGGATTTTGCTGGGACAAATCCATGCCCAGAGGCCTCAGAAGGCTGGCTGTGTCAGGGGGGGTCGGGGGGGGGGGGGGGTCCCGGCGAAGATTTTGCTGAGTGGAGGGGGCCTTGAAACCTACGAAGAACCCATGCCCAGAGAGTTTCAGGAGGCTGGCTGTGTCAGGGGCGGTCGGGGGGGGGGGGGTCCGGCGGGGATTTTGCTGAGGGGGGGGGCGTTGAAACGTACGAAAAACCGATGCCCAGAGGCCTCAGGTTGCTCGCTGTGTCAGGGGGGGTCGGGGGAGTCCCGGCGAGGATTTTGCAGGGGGGGAGGCCTTGAAACCTACGAAACATGCATGCCCGGAGGCCTCAGAAGGCTGGCTGTGTCAGGGGGGGTCGGGGGGGGTAGCCTCGGGGACGCGAACATGGAGTGATTTGCAAGGAGTTGTAATTTCGGGGGCGCGAATCTTGTTTGAGTTGCTGGGATCGCGGCCTCGAGAACGCAAATGTTGTGTAATCTACAGGCGATCGTAACTGCGGGGGCGCGAATAATAAGCAGTTCATAAGGGATCGTGGCCACAGGGTCCCGAATATGGTAAAATGTACGAAGGATCGTGGCCTCGGGGACGTGAAGATTGCGTAATGTACGAATGATGGTGGTTTCGGGAGTTCGAATATGGTGTACTCAAAGGGATCGTTGCCACGGGCACCCGAATACATAATGATTCACTCCGGATCGCGGCCTCGGGAACACAAATATAGCGCAATTCACGAAGAATCGTGACTTCGGGAACGCGAACATCGTGTAATGTGCCAGGGATCGTGGCCCTGTGGATGCGAACATGCTTAAATCTACGAGGGATCGTGCCCTCGGTGACGCGACCACTGCATAATTTACGAGGGACCGTGGCATCGGAAACGCGAATACGGCGAAACTTATAAGGGGCCGTGGCCTCGGGGGCGAGAATTTCATGGATTGTTAAGTACGCCACGGCCCCGCAAGAATTCAGGCAGCGCGATTCGGGGACGCTGGCCAGAACGCTCTGGGCTCCCCCCTCCTCGCGTGGACTTCAACAGCTCACAGTCGGAAGTAGAAAGTAGGATTATAACATTGAAACTAGAGCTGGAGCAGGGAGCTGTGCAAGCCTAAGCCCCGCATCCTGGCGGCCCCACACGGGGGCCGGCGAATTTGGGTGGCTGCGGCAAATCTGCCACTGTGCTGGTGAAGTGCTTTGTGTAACAATCTTTCGAGCACCGCCCAGAGGGCCTTCACGTGTGTCATCTCTCGTCTCCACTTCTTCAGGAGCTCTCACGCGGGATTTCTGGACCATCTAGGGGTTGTCTTGGGCTCCTGTTGGGCAGGCTTGGGGGTCCCTCGGGGCTCTCGTAGGCCATCTTGGGGCCCTCTTGAGCCGCCTTGGAGCACTATTGAGCCGTCTTGGGGCTCGCTTGGCCGTCTGGGGGGTCTCCTGGAGCTGTCGTGGGGCCGTTGTGGGGCCTTCTTGTGCCGTGCAGGGGCCCTCTTGGGCAGTCTTGGGTCATTCCAGAGGCTCTATGGGGCCTGCTTGGAGCTCTCTTGGGGCCGTCCTGGGCTGAGTGAAGGCCCTGCTGGGGCTCCAAGTGGGCTTCTCTGGGCCCTCGAAGACCACAAGTGGATCTATCTTCGACAGACGAGCGTGCATAGTGAAGCACTATTCGCTTTTCGGTGCCCCCGTCTCTATCGCTGGTGCAGCCAACTCTGCCTCGCCGCCGATGGAAAAGTAAAGCGAAGAAATGTGGGAGAGGTGAGGGGGGGAACGTTTGGCCTCTCGAGGGCCTCCTGGAGAGCGGATTGCAAGTGTCTTGGGGCTCACGGGATCGAGGATTGGACGCTCCGAAGGAGTTCTTGGGTGCGTCTTGAAGCAATGTTGGGCCATCTTGGCGGCCCTGGCGGCCGTCTTGGAAGCCTTGCAGAACTTAGGAAAGCCCGAGGGAGGCGTCGGGCCGCCCACGGGGGGGATGCACGCAGGTGGGCGTGAGGAGGGGGGGGCTTAGAGCACTTACAGAAACCCTACCAGATAGCACTTGGCACTCTGCCACGCCTCCCTCAACGTGCCAGTGGGCACGGTGGCGGGTAGGGACTCCAAGTTAGGGGCTCACGGGTTGGAAAATCCTTTACCGTGCTAGTGATGTGGCTCTTTGGCTGTAGTTGACGACGCAGAAGGCCGATCGAGCCCCCGCGCTGCTGTTCGGAATCTCCCACCGTGCCCTGCTTGCTGGCAAGTGCGTCTGCCATGACAGGGCCACCGAAGCCGACGAGGCAGAAGACGAGCGACAGTTGCCTGGAGCGCTGAGGATCGGTCAGCGGGTAATCTGGCAAGCTGCACCCCACGCTGCCGAGCACGAGGCAGGAGGAGGAGAGAGTGTGAAGGCGAGGCCTCCTTCCCGGCCCGGAAGCTGCTGCACATCGCAGGGCGCCATCTTGCAGGGCGCCGGCGGATTCTTGGCCCAGCCGCCCGACGTGCAGGACCGGTGGTCGTCCCTCTGGGTGCGGACCGGCCGCGGCATCGTGCACCCTTTCGTCCACCGCCACCCCGCGACGGGCCGTCCCTCCCTGTGCCTGTTCATGGGCTCGCACTTTGTGTCGTTCGACGGCGGGCGCAGAGCCACGGACACGGCCAGTGTCTTCGCGGAGGTGGGCGCGGCCATCCACGCGGCGCAGCACCTCGTGTATCGCCACAGGTGCCCGGGCAGCCCCCGAGGGTGTGGGCGCTCGGCCAGCGAGTCGGCTGCGCGCAAGAATGACTTTTCGCCAGGCCGCCGCTGCCGCAACGCATGCAACGGCCGGCAAGCCGCGCACCACAAGTCACGCTTCGCTTGCCTAGGTTCACTCTTGCGTGTAGCCGACTTCTGCGCAAGGAGCTTCTCCTCCTCCTCCTCCTCCTCCTCCTCCTCCTCCTCCTCCTCCTCCTCCTCCTCCTTTCCCTCCTCCCTGCTCCTTCTCCTCCTCCCTCCTCCTCCTCCCTCCCTTCTCATTCTCCTCCTCCTCCTCCTCCTCCTCCTCCTCCTTCTCCTCCTCCTTCTCCTCGGGGGGGCGGGGGGCAGCCTCGTGCCGGCTGATGGTTCCGAGCCGCTCTTTGGTTGCCGAGATCTTGGACGCAGCTTCCCGGGGAACCCAGGGCTACAGGGGGGACCCAGCCGCGGAGGAAGGTCGTTGGAGCTGTTCCTGCCATGAGGTATCCCTTCGTGGCCACCGATCTTCTGGGCTTCAGGGCTGATCCTCGTCTTTCAGCCAGCCGGGTCCTCTTCTCCATTCCAGGGGTGTCTGGGGTCGCGCTGTCCCAGCAAGGGTGCCGTCCACGCCCTCCATCGCGCGAGTCGCCCCTGCTTTGAGCCCCAGCGGAGCGGGCCAGGAGTTGGCCCCCTGCCTCCTGCTCCTGTCGTTCTCCATTCGAGCGCATCCGATGGGACCGCGCCCCCGAGGGCGGACGCGGGTGGGTCGCGGCTCGCTGCGTGCGAGCCCAAGCTGCGAGCAGGCGGAGGAGAGGAGGGAGCCAACTGAAGAGCTTGGGAGACACTGGAAGGAGGAAGAGGGGGAGGAGAAGGAGGACGAGGAGCAGCAGCAGCAGCAGCTGGAGGAGCAGGAGGAGCAGCAGGAGGAGGAGGAGGAGGAGAAGGAGGAGGAGAAGGTGGCTGAGGAGACTCGTGCCTCTTGTCCGCGCCGCTGCCAACGGATATGTTTCACTGCTTCTTCGAGGGGACGCCCCCTTTGAAACTTCTGCTTCAGGTGGGAGACAGGGGACCTGCTGATCCACGACAACCTGGCCACCGCACACCTGGCGTCGGCAGGCGCCGGGGCCCGCGAAGGGACGGACGGAACGCGCGTGCAGGCAGTGGGGTGCGCCACTTTGAGCGCTTCCATTCCGACGGGGACCCCTTTGATCTACAGTCAGGGTCAAGTTGTCCATATCCACTCGGGAACCCTCCGTTCGGTCAAAGGCCCGTGCACTCATCGGCTGCGTCCCTTCGCGCTGACCCCTCAGAGTGTTCGGGAGCGCCGCCCTCGAGCTGTGCAAGCAGCGTGGAGTCGGTCGGCCTGCATTCCAAAACCAGACTGTGTTTCGCTTCGGAGTCTCCAGGCGCACTGGATCCTTCTGCGTGGTTCCCGAGGCCCGAGGCACCCCGACGACTGGGAGAGCCCCGAGAGAGCAGGCTGCCCTCCCCCAGGCCGTCGCTCCACGCCCGCACAACGGCGACGGCGACGGCGACGACGACCTAGGTCGCCCGCGGGGACGCGAAGGCAAGAGGCGCCTCGTTGTGCGGCGTGCGGTCAGGAACGTTGGCTTGAAGCGTCGCGCCATCCAGGTCTGGCCCTCCACGCTTTGGCACGCCACGCCGAGCACGCCCCAGTCCCAAGGCATCAACGCTCCGAGCTTTCCCCGGCTGGGGCCGCCGCAGCGACACGCTGAGCGAGAGCTCCTGAGCGCAGACCACACAGGCGATGGCGCGAGGGCGCGGAGATAGCCGCGGATGATCAGGGGGGTGCGAGGCGCGAAGTCTGGTGACTCAGACGCCCATCGTTGCCAGGGGCCGTCGCCACCGTCGCCATCGGTAAGCGTAAGCTCAAGAGCAAGAGTAAGAGTAATAGTCTGAGTGGTAGTGGTGGAAAGATCAGTGCTGGGGTAGTCGTAGCTGTAGTGGTGATAGTGGTAGCGGTGATCGTAGCAATGACAGTGTTCGTATTGGTGGCACTCGTAGTGGCAAGGGGTGTTAGTAGTGGTGACAATGAACATATGTGTGGTGATCGTATTCGTAGTAGTCGTGGTAGCTGTGGTGGTAGTAGTAGTAGTAGTAGTAGTAGTAGTAGTAGTAGTAGTAGTAGTAGTAGTAGTAGTAGTAGTAGTAGTAGTAGTAGTAGTAGTAGTAGTAGTAGTAGTAGTAGTAGTAGTCGTAGTGGTCGTAGTAGTGGTGGTCGTAGTCGTAGTCGTAGTCGTAGTCGTAGTAGTAGTCGTAGTAGTAGTTAGTCGTCGTCGTCGTCGTCGTCGTCGTCGTCGTCGTCGTCGTCGTCGTCGTCGTCGTCGTCGTCGTCGTCGTCGTTCGTCGTCGTCGTAGTAGTAGTAGGTCGTGTAGTAGTTAGTAGTGTAGTAGTAGTAGTAGTAGTAGTAGTGTAGTAGTGTAGTAGTAGTAGTAGTAGTAGTAGTAGTAGTAGTAGTAGTAGTAGTAGTATAGTAGTACTTGTAGTGTACTAGTAGTACTAGTAGTACTAGTACGAGTACTAGTAGTACTAGTAGTACTAGTAGTTACTAGTAGTACTAGAAGTAGTAGTAGTAGTAGTAGTAGTAGTAGTAGTAGTAGTAGTAGTAGTAGTAGTAGTAGTAGTAGTAGTAGTAGTAGTAGTAGTAGTAGTAGTAGTAGTAGTAGTAGTAGTAGTAGTAGTAGTAGTAGTAGTAGTAGTAGTAGTAGTAGTAGTAGTAGTAGTAGTAGTAGTAGTAGTAGTAGTAGTAGTAGTAGTAGTAGTAGTAGTAGTGGTAGGACTGATGATAGACACAAAAATCACAAGTACGTGGGATCATTCGGTTGCGTGATTATGTCTGTGTCATGGTTTGTTCCCCTACCGGAAGTCCGTGTCTGATGGCCTTGGGGCCTGAGGACGGGCCCCCGAAGCCGAGATCGAGGAAGGCGCCAGCATTCGAAAGGTCATAGCGTCGTGCATCTTTGGGGCAGGCGACGACAGCGACGGCGCACCTCCCGCGAGGCACCCAGGCGCCCGCCTCGCAGGTCGGCCTGCGCGTCCTGGACCGCGCTGCCGTCGCCGGGGCCAGGCCGCTGCGGGCCTGGGCTCCCGAGCGGCTGCCGGAGCACTCGGGCGGCGGCCAGGAGCTCGACCGGAGGGCGGAGGGTGGAGGAGGAGGTCAGTATCGTTTAACCGACCCCCATCCCCATCCTCATCCCCTTCGGGACCCCCACCAAATTACAACCCCAGATGGGGATACACTCTTCGAAACCCGAAGGGGACGGCCTAGATCCCCATACAGGGGGGTAAATCGGCCAGTGGGGCCCAGGCCACGCCGCTGGGGATGGGGGTCGGATACTCGATGTCAGGAGGGAAGTCGTTCAGTCGGTCGGCCGAGGACCTCGAGTGACTCGGTCCAGTGAGCTCTGCCAGGGGGGTGGGAGGTCACAAGTGCAGCGTCCAGCCAAGAACGATTGGCTGCTCGACAGCCCACTGCTCGCACACGGCGCCTGCCTAAAGCTTCACCACCACAGGCCCGCACGGAGGAAGATGAAGAGGAGGAGGAGGGTAAGGATCGAGGTTTCTTGGGGTGAGTGAAGGGGAGAGGAGGAGGAGGGGGAGGAGGAGGAGAAGGAGGAGGAGGAGGAGGAGGAGCAGAGGGAAAAAGAAAAAGGTAAGAATCGAGGTTATTCTTTGGGGGCGAGGAGAAGTGAGTCGGAGGAGGAGTGAGGGGGAGGAGGAGGAGGAGGAGGAGGAGGAGGAGGAGGAGGAGGAGGAGGAGGAGGAGGAGGAAGAGGAGGAGGAGGAGGAGGAGAAGGAGGAGGAGGAGGAAGAGGAGGAGGAGGAGGAGGGCAAGGATCGAGGTCGTGTGGGCCCCCTTGCCAGGCTGGAGGCCGGAGACCGCTCTGGAGACCGCCCGTGGGCGGTGGAGCGGCAGCATCAAGGGGAGACGGGTGAGGCCCCCGTGGCCCCGGCCCTGAGCCTTGGCCCTCCTCGCTGCGGGAGTGCGGCCAGGCACAGCCCGCGAGCAATGCACTGGTGTTAGGTCGGGCCTGTCCCCCTACAGGGGGGTTTTGGACGAGAAATGAAAAATACCCCAAAGATGCCCAAAAATAGTCAAAAAATAGTCCCCTAATTTTTTGACTATTTTTGAATATTCCCCCTGTAGAGGGACAGGCCCGACTTAACACTGGAGGTCTGTGCCAGGGCGGTCGAGAGTCTTGAGGGCGGGTAGGCGATGCGCAGCCCATGGCAACGCCCTCATCATCTTCCCTCTCCTCGTGTCGTCGCTGTCGCCGTCACCCGAGTCGGTGGCCCTGGCGAGGGGGTGGCGGCGGCAGTGGCAGTGCCGAGACGCGCCCAGAGTCCAGCAAGGCATGAGAGTACACAGCCGACTTGTCTGGCTGATGCTCAGGGGAGGGGCCTGAGCTCAGGGGAGGTTGCAGCACCGCTCAACGATGTGCTGTGTAACCGCAGGGTAGAACCTTTCCCTGTTCCGTGTTTTGGTGCGGATCGTCTGCGCGCCTCGTCTCCGTCGTCGTTGTCGGCGTCGTCTTGGTCGTAGTGCGTGATGGTCTGCTCGGGATTTGTTCCCCTTGTGCAGTAACCGCACCCTCTTCGTCTCCACCCAGCAGGCGCCTGGCAGAACGAGTGGCCCTCGTTTGCATGAGCCAGTGTTTGATCGAGAGGTTCTCTGCCCTGGGCGACCTCGTTCCGACTCGCTGCTTTGCACGGTCTGTGCACGCTGAGGCAGGAAGCTCTGCTGGCACCAAGCCGACTCCAGTGGACCCTGGCCTTCCGCGGACTGAGATGTACAGCCGAACTATTTTGCCGACGCCAGCGTTGCTTACAAATTGATTGGACCAGCCATCCGAATATTCGATCCGCTGTATCAGCTCGAGGGGACTGAGGCGCCTTACGACTCATCGTTCATGTGTGAGCGAAATTCCCGTGCGTTTGTTCGATACGTTCGGTGTTCATACTTCTTAAGATTGGGTATGATTCGCCCCTGTATCATTAGAAGAGTGTCTTGATGAGGACTGTGCCAATGCGCCCCTAGCCAGTTCATCCCCTCACAGTATGGTCCCAGCGCAACAAAATTCTGAGTGCGATGTTTTCAGACAGCAAACTGGAGACAAGCTGAATGGGAGACTGTTCAAAGCAAGATAGCAAAGGGTGCGCGCTGTAACATGATAGATTTCGTTTTGCGTGTATCTACGCTGCAGTGCAGTGCGGCGCACTGCGATTGCTATGGTAATTACACTGCGCACTGATCTTGTTTGCTTTAGCTGTCGTTTGGTGATGATTCGATGATGTGTTGAACAGGACTGAATCTAACTTCGGCTCAAGTTACCGTCCAGATCCTGCACTTTAACACACCGCACCAGCCGTAGCGTGGCAAGCATGGTCAAGAAGGTGTCGATGAAGCGAAAAGATTCCGTTTCGAAGCAGACAGCCAACAAGCGAGTCGTTACATGCAACATTGGTTATGAGTGCGCCCATCCGTGTTATGGGATTTTAAACGTGTGAATGACTTTTCCTTCATCGGCGAACTTCCGAGGCATCTTCCTAGTTTCCAGTCCCTATTCATGGTGGCGTTGATGGTCTAATTCGCACACCCAATAAGCCAAAACGGAACGGGCATGCTGGGATTGTTGCGACTATTGAACTGCCTTTCTGAACCATATCACCTGAAGAGGCGAGCACCTGACGCGGAAGCGGAACAAGTTCAGACGAAGTTGTTGGGTGTCTACAGCAACGCGATGAACCAAATGAAGAATTGGCATGCGCTTGCATCCACACATTCCAGCGGGGAGTTGGCCAACGCCTATTGTGATGGCTGGAGCAATTGGGATTACGGGCGGATCTGGGTGATTGGATTCAAGCCAGTTCAGCCGAAGTTTAAACATGATGTTGGGCATTATTGGTTCTGGGCGAAGTGGCATGCAACAGTCACTTGGCAACACAGCTTTGAGCTGGCAGGCTTAAGAGCGCCTCGAAAGACCGTCCATACGAGAATGCCCACAACAGTTCAATTTCGAGAGCTATCAGAATTTTGCAAACATCGTTGTGACAGTGGACCGCAGCCGTCTGACGAATCTGGCACTACAGGTCCAGACGTGATTGTGAATTCCCCTCGCGCGGGCCGTGGCCATGCAGAGGCAGCTACCTCACCAACATCGAAATCTGACGTGGACCATCGTGACCTGCAGGAAAAGCTGGAGGCATTAAAAGTGTGATTTGCGAAAGGGTTGATCACGGAACCAGTGCATGAGAAGAAGCACTTGCGGCTGTTGGTAACGTGTAGGTGAGTCGTGTTCGCGTGGTGCATGGCTGGGCAGATATCCTGAACGCTAGGATGCGAGCAGGCCTTCATTGCTCGAGTTGTTTGCAAATGTGATTCCGTATTGGCACATGTCAAGTCGATGATTGTGTATGGGATATGGAGCAAATGTGTTGAATTGGACTGAAAAGTGTCACAGTGCAGCGCAGTTCGATACGTTGCACCGCAATTTCCTCGCATTGGTTTGCAATGCATTGAAATGCATTTCAAGCAATGAAATCCAGAGCAGATTCAAAGCAACGCTCTGGATTGCAAAAAGTGAAAACCGCGTAGCGCAATTAAGCGGAATACAACCCAAAATGAATGCGGAGTGGCAAAGCGATGCAATGGCAAAGCTTTGTAGCGCCAAACAACGCAATGGACGTCGCAGGCAATACAAAACAGCGCAGAGCACCGCAACACAGCACGATGTTCCATGAGAAGGATTGCCAACCAATGCACAACAGATGCAATAACGGCGCATGTCAATACAAGAAAGACACTGTTAAGCAAAACGAAACACAGAAATGAAATTTGCGCGGCATTCGGGTTGCACCAGAGAATCATCTGGAGAATTGGCCGCCAGGGGCGCCGCGGCCAAGGTTTAATTTCCGTGAAAAATCGGATGGCCTTCGGCCCATCCCGCCACCGTGTCTTGGTTGTGGGTATGAAGTTTATCGCATGTTCGGTGGGATCTCGTTGGAGGCCTCCTGGAGGCAGTTTTGAAGCATCCTGGGGGCAGTTTGGGGCCTCTTGGGGCCTCTTTGGGGCCTGTTGGGGGCCTCTGGGGGCCCCTTGGAAGCCTCTTGGGGCATCTTGGGGCCCTCGTGGGGCCTCCTTAGCTTAACGCGGAAGGCTCGAATTGTCGGTTCGTGGTCCCCTTTTGGGGTTGTTTTGTGGCCCTCTTGGGCCCTCGTAGGCGTTTCTTTACCGTCTTGGGGTCCTCTTGGGCCATCTTAGGGCCCTTGTTGGGCGGTCTTGGTGGCTTCCTGGGCCGTCTTGACGGCCTTTTGGGCCGTCCTGGAACGATCATTGGGCGTCTCGGGGCCATCTTGGACCGCTCTGAGGGCCTCTTGGGGACCTCCTGGCCCGTCCGGAGGCCCTCTTGGGCCCGAGACAGTCATGCGACAAGATGCCTGGAACCTCAGGGGAACCGCGGGAAGCCCCGGTTGATGTGAGAATTTGGGGTCTGGGCCCCGTCAAGACTCTTCAGGACTGAGGACTGAGGCCCCAGGGATTAGGCAAAGGACCTGAGGAACGCCCACTCCGTGCCCAGAGGCACAGTGGCAGATGGTAGTGTCCCATGGCCCAGAGGGCCTTCGAGCCAAAGCCCAGGTGGTAACTGAGTAATGTCCCATGGCCCAACCTGGGTCACCAGAATAGTGTGTTCCTTGTTCCATCGCTTCAAGTTGCTGGTGGGCTCGGTCAAAAGCTTCCGAAAAGTGGCACCGACGCCCCGATTACATTTCCACGGGGTGCCCCAGAGTCTCGGCGGTAGAGCCTGGCAGATGCGTAGCCATTACCGGCCTCACCCTGCCCCAGAGCCTAAGCTCATCTGATCTTGATTATTTTCGCTTTCGTGGGGGAGGGGCAAGCTGACCACGGCTGACCCGGGACGAAGAGCCATGATGTCTATGTATCGCGATCGCTTGAAAACGTGAAGGTGGATGAATGAAGCAAGGGGCCAAGCTACCGTGAGCTAAGCTACGCGCGGTTGGGCTGCGCTAGCCGAAGACAGAGCTAGCTTTTCTAGCATACTGCTGGTGTCAGCTGAGCCACGCGAGTCCATTCATAGCTAAGGTACACTGGGATCATGCGGGAGTGCATTTTGCGGATACCGAGCGCTGTTTTCAATGGCGTAAGCCGACAACATGATGATGTGATATTATCGAAGACGCCTACGGCGAATCACCGCCGCCCCCTGCCTTTTTGGAAACGCCGATGTGGCCGAAAGTTGGACTAGAGCTTGGCCAAGCTATCGGACCATGAGTTCCCCGAGTCGGTTTGGAAAGCTTTCGGGGAACACATGGGAGAGAATGATTATGAACAGGAAGAGGAAGAGGAAGAAATAGAGTAGGAGGATGAGGGTTGTTAGGAGTCTCTTGGGGCACCCTTGGGGTCTGTTGGGGGCTTCTTGGGGGCCTCTTCGAGGCCTCTTGGAGGCATCTTGGGGGCCTCCTTGGGCCTCTTGGGGGCCTTTGGGGGCTTCCTGGGGGTCTCTTTGGCCGTCTTAGGGCGTTCCTGGTCCGTCTGACGCCGTCTGGAGCCGTCTTGGGGGCCTCTCTGGGCCGTCTTGGGGCCCTCTTGGGGCGCTTCAGGGCCGTCTTGGAGGCCATGTTGGGCGTCTTGGAGGCCTCTTGGGCCGTCTTGGGGCGCTCTTGGGGCCGTCTTGGGGGGCCCTTGGGCCGTCATAGGGCCTTCTTGGAGGCCTCTTGGGCGATCTTGGGGGCCTCTTGGGCCGTCGGAAGGCCGAAAAGAAGAAAACGCAAAAAACCTTCAAAAACCTAAGGAAAACCAATGATTTTGGCCTCTTCGGGCTCTCCTGGAGAACGTCTTGGAGGCCTCTTGGGCCATCTTGGAGGCATCTTGGGGCCATCTTGGCCGTCTTGGAGGGCATCTTGGGCCGTCTTGGAGGCATCTTGGAGCCATCTTAGCCGTCTTAGAGACCATCCTGGCCGTCTTAGAGGCATCTTGGAGGCCATCTTGGAACCGTCTGGGGCAGGAAATTGGGGAATTGAGCTCCTGGGCATCCTTTCCGGGTGGCCGGCGGGACGGGCCGAAGCCCATTGGGGAGTTCTTTTAGAAAAAGAACCAAAACCAAAACCTGAAACGTCCAGCACGCCGTGCACCCCTGCAAGCAGGGGGCGGCGGATCGAGTGGTTTTCGGCCTATCCCGCCACCGTGCTTGGGTTGTGGGTCGCAGGCCTCTGGGATGGTCGTTGGGGTGTCCCGGGAGACCTCTCGGGGGCCTTTTGGGAACCGTTTTGATGCATCTTGGAGGCCGTTTCGGGGCTTCTTGGGGCGTCTTCGGGGTCTCTTGGGGGTCCCTTGGGATTTTTGGGGGGTCTCTTGGGGCCTCCTTCGGGCCTCCTGGGGGCCTCGTGGGGCGGAAGACTCGGACTTTCGGTTGGTGTTCTCCTTGGGCATCTTGGACCATCTTGGGGACTTTGGTTCGGTTCGTGCTCCATTCTTGGAACTGTTTTGGGGCCCTCTTGGACCATCTTGGGGGCCTCTCGGGGCCCTCTTGGCCCGTCTTGGGCCCAAGTCACGCGGGGAGATGCGCTGGAGCCCAGGGGAACCGTGCCAGACACCGTGCTGGGGTCGTGGACAAGAGGCTTCTGGGAGGCATCCTGGGGACGCCTGAGAAGTCGCGTGGGACATCTTTAGGAGCCCTCTTGGAGGCTATGGAGCCTCTTTGTGGAGTGGAAGGCTCGAAATGTCAGTTCGGGTTCCCCTTCTTGGGCCGTCTTGGGGGCGTACTGGGCCTCTCTTAGAGGTGTCGGATGCCGTCTGGGGCGATGTTGGGGCCGTCATGAATTGAAAATCCGAGAAGGCAAATTGTAAGTTGCTCAATGAGTTGAACTCTTTGGGCTGGCCCCAGGGATGGCTTCCTGGGGCCATCTGAGGACACGTGGGGAAGTATGGAACCCCAACAACGCTCCCAAGGCCTCCAAGAAAGTCACACGGCAAGCCCCAGAGACGCCCGAGAATTCTGTGAAATTCTAGCTCTGGGACCCATGAAGCGCATTTACAACATTCAGCACAGAGAACTGGCAGGGACTTGCTCCGTCCAGTGCCTGCGGCACGGCCGGCATTGCAGCGCAGATATCAGCACGGCGATAACAAATGAAAGGACGGAGCGACATATAAGTATGCACAGCCTCTTGTGTGTATCTAGATAGAGTGAAAGAGATAGACAGAGACAGCACACTTCAGAGAGACTCTATAGATGGGCACATCTGTACTCTTTACAAGCAACGAACACAAAGAGAGAAAGAGAGAGAAAGAGGAAGTGCACGTGCGGTAAGAAGAGAGCAGAAGTATTAGTGAGGACGGCATTATATGTCGTTCGCTTGCCATCCTGGAAGACTCGGCCTTTCAAGGACGGCTCGTCCTTCATTGACATCCAAGAGCGCCGCGGCTTCTTGCGGCGCCTGTGGCACTCACAGATTCGCCACGACATGAGCGAGGAAGCGGGGCGCGTGGGATACGCGTGCATCTCCTTATTTTCATGATCGTTGTGATTGCCTTCTCTCCCTCTCGTCATCGAGCCATTTGTCCATGCCCAGAAACCAGTAGCAACCCCGCATTCCGAGGCCACCGAGTTTCACGCTTGTCAGGGCAGTTCCCTTCCTGACATCCGCCAGTCTGTGGCACCAGAGGTTCCAGCCGCTTCCCGGGGGTAGTTTATCGCCCCCGATCCATGCTTGATTGCCCCCAGGCCCGAAAACGATCCTCAGAGGCCGAACTCGAGTAAAAAAATCCGCTTGGTAAAAGCACAGATCGTCTGAGATTTGGGTTATTTCCGAGATGCGTCTATCTCCCTCGGTCGAGTCTTTTCTTGTCGTGGGCGTCTAGTGGGTCATCCGCTTGCAGGCACGGCAACTGGCACGCAGCGAGGTTCTGGACAGGGGCACCGCGCCCCCCAGGGCATCAAAGACTCCAAAGTCTCAAAGGTTCCTCGGGTTTCGGCCTCTCTCCTCCTCCGCATCCGCATCCGCATCCGCATCCGCATCCGCATCCGCATCCTCCTCCTCCTCCTCCTCCTCCTCCTCCTCCTCCTCCTCCTCCTCCTTTTCCTCCGCCCCCTCATCCTCTTCCTCCTCCTCCTCCTCCTCCTCCTCCCCCTCCGCCTCCTCCCTCCTCCCTTGATCTGATCGTGCCTCACCTTTTCGTCGGCGAGCTCGCTCCTCCTCATACTCCTCCTCATGTGCGCTCGCCTCCTCCTTCCAGCTGTCCTTCATCATTTCGCTCCTCCTCCAATGTCGCTCACGAGCTCGACGTACCTCTCGACATCGCCAGGTTATGTAGAAGCGCGTCACTGCGAGTCGGCACGTCCCTACACACACATCTCTCGACTATATGGAGTTCGTTTTTTTGTACATGATGGACCACACGTATGGCTCCTATTGGGACGACCCCGACCACATTTTGGATGTCCAACATTGGATGGAGGCCTTCACCCAAGTATGTAATCCTTGTCAGTACGACCAGATGCACGCAGCTTTAGATGCTTTGTACGCCAGCCAACTGCACACCTGACGTCCCTGCACCGCCCGAAGTAGAGCATTCACTTGTCTTTAGCACTCGTGCACCGTCGCTCGCACGCATCGCGCTCTGCACGGCTAGAGTGAGAACCGTGCTAGCACACACTGAAGCATTAAGGGTAGCGCCCTGGCGGCTGGTTCTAAGTGCATCGTCTTGTACATTACGAATAGCCCCGATTCGCGTATAGCACACAGTTACTGCTCTTCAGATGTCATAGCCCAATTTGCCGATGAAAAATCATCATCATCACCATCATCATCCTAATTTTTCGCGTCCTCCCACAACCCGCTCTTCCTCACCCTTCTTCCGGTCCTCCGCCTCCTCCTCCTCCCCTCATCTCGGCCGCCGCTTTATCCCTGTCCCCGTCGTTCCTTCTCGTACTCCTCGTCTGCGCTCCCCCTTCCTCCACCCTCCTCCACCATTTCATATTGTCCCTCATTTCCTCCTCCGCCTCCTCCTCATCCTCCTCCTCCTCCTCAGATAGCTCCTCCCTGTCGCACCCCGAGGCCAGTTTTTAGGGCGGGCCGGGCGTTTCGCCTGAAACGTCCTCACCATTTATGATATGTGAAGCTTAACAAGTGACAACAGCTTCACAGATGGAGGGCGGGTGGTTTTCAAAATGTGGCTCTCGCTTTAGCGCCGCGGACATTCGTTTTTGAAATTTGCGAGAGTTTCACGGATTGAGGGCGGGTGGTTTTCAAAATGTGGCTCTCGCCTCAGCGCTTCGCACATTCGTTGTACGACATTTGCAAGACCTTCACGGATTGAAGGCGGGTCGTTTTCAAAATGTGGCTCTCGCCTCAGCGCCACGCACATTCTTTTTTATGTGCGACAGCTACACGGATTGAGGGCGGGTCGTCTTCAAAATGTGGTTCTCGCCTTAACGCCGTGCACATTCGTTTCAAGACAGTTGCAAGAGCTTCACGGCTTGAGGGCGGGTGGTTTTCAAAATGCGGCTCTCAATTTAGCGCCGTGCACATTAGTTTTCAAAATTATTGACGTTTCGCGTAACCCCACCAGCGCATGGGACAAAGCAGGCTTCGACGCCTACAAGATGGACGACGAGCACCAGCTCCGCGTAGATTGGCCAACCATTACGGACAGGCATCGCAAGCAACTACAGCGTGACACCAAGACGCACACCCCCGAAGGTCCCAGGGGTGGCGGTCGCCCGTATCCGGTACCCATGGAGCAAACCAAAAGAGGCCACTTGTTCCCCTCCGGTGTACACCGATTACAGGGTCGCCGAACAGACAGGCCCACCCAGTGCCGCAGCTCGATGGGAGTCATGGCAGGCATGGGAAGGGTGGGACCACCGTCAGGACACGTGGTCCGACTCCGACTGGAGGACCAGGGAGAAACGCACTGCCCCCAGAGGAGACGCTCAGTACGCTGACAAACGGCAGCGCGGGCGGGACTTCGCCCGCAAGTGAACCTGACTGGTCTACCCTATCGGAGCGTTGCCCCCTTCTTCTCCCCAGGCCCAGGAAGGCAGCTCCATCGTCGAGGGACAGTCGGAGAGGGCTCCATCGCATTCTCTTGCAGCTTGTTTGCGGCTCAAGGCCTTTCCCCCCTGATTATGTCAATACTACGAGTCGCCACTCAACCCGTCTCAGAACGCAGCGCATGCTTTCTAGATGACAACGACCTCGGGCAGCTGGGGACTGCCTCCACCTCCGTATACAAAGTGGTTTCCATCGCGCTGACCTTGTGGGCCACATGGGCCCCCGACGTGCCTTGTGGGGCCCAATGGGTCGGCAGCCCGATGGTCCTCAACCGCACCTTTGCTGCCCACAGGGGCGCAATTAATGAGGATAAAGACGACGCGGACGGCTGTCCCCACAGGCCACCTCCGTGGGTAGTCCCTATACAACAGGGGCTGGTTTCACCGCAGTGACAGGCCCCGGCCTTAATACACTTGTGTCACCTCCTGGGGACGAGGTGCACCACTCACACTGCGCCTAGACTCCGACGGTGCAGCGTGGGCCCTTAGCCCGTGTGGTAACGGCTGCCATATTTTCGACACACGGTTCGCTTTGGCCCTTACTCCGACATGGGCCCGACGTGCCCGCTGGGCACTCACGATGGATGGCTGGGGCTACAGGCCGAAGGCCCTCCCCCCTTTCGCTCCATAAGCAGCGCATCCGACGGCAGCGACCTGGTGGCGTTTCCCCCCCACCAGGCAGGCACCCTCCTGACCACCTTCCGACGACGCCTGACTGGGTCCCTGGCTGACGGTGGCCGCTGGGCTCTCGTCCTTCCCCCTCGTATTCAACTGACCTGCGGCTATCGGCTGCGCCCCCCACCCCTACGTCACTTCGACCTCCACGGCAGGACGTTCGACGTGGTTGTTTCACCGCAGCGACAGGTCGTGGCACTCCCAGCACCCCCCTGGATGTGGGACACCTCTATGGCCGCGCTGCGACTAGCTTTCCACGGTGCACCGTGGAGTTAGTCCGTGTGGCGTCGGCTGGAATAATCCACGCACAAGGTTGGCTTTGGCCTGGTTCTCTCGGACATGGGCCCGTCTCGCCCGCCCGGGCCATCGAGCGGCTGGGACCGCCGGCCTAAGGCCCGCCCCAGTCGTTCCACACAACGCACCTTCTACGTCGACACCGCTCTGTGGCACCCCCCCCTGGCAGGCGCCTACGACGGCTTCACCACTTGGCCCCGTTCTCGGACATGGACCCTTTTTTGTCCGCCTGGGCGCACCTTGGCCGGATGGGGTCGTCGGCCTAAGGCCCTACCCCTACGCCCCCCTCGACGCACTTCGGTGAATGACGACCGCGCCCAGTGGCGCTTCCCCCCACTGGTTGCACGCAGCCGGCCGTGAGCTTCCAGTTGCCCCGTGAGTGGGGGGTCTTGGTTGGCTGTTGTCCGCGGCGCGTTTTCTCTTCCCGGTCGCCGGGTGCCGGCGCCATCGTGCGTCGCCCCGCTTTCGCCGGATGCCGGGTTCGGCGTAGCGAGGCTCATTTTGTCCCTCGCATGTGCTCTCCGGCGTCGGCTCTTGGCCCGCTGGCAATTATCTGCTTGCCGTCATGCTTTTCCTCGGCTTAATGGGGGTCACCCCCTCGCACGTGCATTCCGGCGTTGGCTTTTGGCCCGCTGGCAATTATCTCGCTTGTCGCCCCAAGCTAGCTACGCCCCGCTCTCTGGCACATGTGCACTCCGGCGTTGGCTTTTGGCCCGCTGGCAATTATCTTGCGCGCTGCCCCATACTTGATACGACCCGCTCTCTGGAATCGCCCTTGGAGCCGCAGATCAAAAAGTAGCCCCACCAGCCCATACTTTTCGCAGCGACTCGTCTTCCCCGGCCCAATTCCCCCCCGCCCCAGCGGCTCTGCCCCTCCCTGGGATTGGGGCTCCCGAGCGCACGCGGTACAGCCTGTGCGCTCTTGGCTGCCGGCCGACCGCGTTGATTGCCCCACGGCCCCTGGCGGCGACGCCCACGGCATCCTCTTGCCCCCTTGTTCCGGCGCTGAGGCGTGGATCTCCCCGGTTCGGGCAGCCTACAGTCGTCGGTTCCAGCTTGAGAGCGCGCGTGGCATCCCCTGATCCGGCGGTTCAGGCGCTTACGGTGTCGATTACATCCGTCGCACCCTGGCTACTTCACCCATCCCTGGGGCCTTCCGTGGCCGGACGTTCGCAGGATCAGTACGCCCCTCCGGGGCTTTGGTGTGCGACTTTGTTGGCGCCACCCAGTGCACCAGTTTGGACTTAGTTAGGCGCCCATGGCAGTCGTCGCGGTGTACTCACTGGCCGCCTCTCTCGTCACATCCTGGCACGCCCCTCGCGCCATTTCGGCTGCGCCCCAACTGTGGTTGGTTACTTCACATGCGCGCTTCCCTGGACCTGTCCCCTGGCAGCTGCAGCCTGCACCTCCCCCTCGCGCCGGCCCGCCCACCGAGGCGCTGCCTGAGGTCGC